TCCAGCTCCATGTTTCCCAGTGCTCCAGTCTGTATATTCTTCCCCCTGGAATCCAGCTCCAGGTTTCCCAGTGCTCCAGTCTGTATATTCTTCCCCCTTCCCCCCGGGATCCAGCTCCAGGTTTCCCAGTGCTCCAGTCTGTATATACTCCCCCCCCCCCGTGTTTGTATATTCTCCCACTCCCCTTGGGAGCTGGATCCATGTTTTCCAGCTCTCCGGTCTCTACAGTCCTCCCCCTCATCCAGTTCTGTGTTTCCCACCTCTCCAGTCCATATATTTCCCCCCTCTACTGGGGTCTGGAACCTCTGGTCCCTATATTCTCCCCTCTCTCCACGGGGAGGAAGCTGAACAATGGGGACTGCCTTCCTGCCTCCCTCCGGCCAGGAAGTCCCCCCTCCAGTGCCTGCCGGCTGGGTATGAACCCAGCCTGGGCAATGCTTAGAGAGTGAGGAGAGCTGGGAAGTAAAGACCAGGACATACAGGACCCCGTAACATAAGGGGGAGGAGTGGGAGCAACCAAGAGTGGCAAGGATGGAGGGAGCCTGTGGAACTCTCTGCTACTGGGCATTAAGCCTTGGGACTGTGTGCCCTGGCTCTTAGGGTGAGGCGACTCTCTGAACCCAACTGGCCCGGGCTAGGAGGGTCCCAGGGATGGGGGAGGTCTCCTGCTGAGGCAGAAGGAGATGGGGGCACTGGGGGGGCAGTTTGGGCAGGGCATGTGGGGCTGGGTGGGGAGAGGAGACCTCTGCGGCGGGAGGGGTGTTGAGAGATGACGACGCCCATTCAGGAGTTAGGTGGTCACAGCAAAACATTTTTATTTCTGGGGCCAAAGCCCCCGTATAGCAGTGCAGACCAACAGCCCCCCCACCTTAAACAGAACAGGCCACTTGCCCGACCCCCCAGGGAGAGGCAGGGGGAGCACAGGTGGGGGTGGGGGGCTCAGGCGGAGGGACCCCGGCAGCAGGGGAGGCGGGTGCTGTGGGCAGACCAGGCCAAGGGGAGGCGGGTGCTGTGGGCAGACCAGGCCAAAAGGGGGTGGGGAAGCAGCAGGGGAGGCGGAGGGCAGGGGGACTGGAGAGGAAGTTAACCCTTTATTGACCATTAAGCCCCCCAACTCTGGTTCCTGTCCTGAGGTTCACAATCTTATTCTGGGGGTCACAGATCAGCCCCCAAAATCTCAGCTTCCCTGAGCACGTCTCACTCTGATTTCTGTGGGGAGAAGAGAGTCAGGTAAGAATCACCCCAGGTACTCCAGCCCCAGCCTCTCCCAGCAGGGGGCGCTGTGGGGGGCAGGGCAGGAGCACTGGTGGGGTGTGGGGGGGTATTTACCTTGCTTTTCTCTTCGGCGCCGGATGGACAGACTGAAAAAGGAACCGAGACAGAGGAGTGAGACCCTGGCTCCCCTGAACAGGAGTGTGTGTGGGTGGTATATAGCCCTGTCCGTGAGGATACAGGGGGAGGTCAGGGGGTCCAAGGGGCACAGGGGCAGCGGAGATCTGGGGGTACATATCCTTCCCGAGGAGATATGGGGAAGGGGAACAGGTGTGGCCTGGGAGGCAGTGGGCTGGTTGGGGGGTACCTGGGGGTTGAGGGGTGTATGGGGTGGCAGTATGAAGGGGTGTTGCAGAGGAGGCTGGATGGTTGGGGGTGCAATGGAGGGTGGTATGGGGGGATAGGGACTGGGGGGCATATGGGGGCAGTGGGAAGGTTGGGGGCTGTATGGGAGGCACTGGGGTGAATGGTGGCAGGGCAGCACCTACCCTTATCCCGGAGGAGGCACTGGGGATCGGGGTGTATGGGGGGGGGGGGGTGACACGGGGGGCGGGGGGGGGGGGGTGACACGGGGGCGGGGCACAGACCTTTGTTTCCGAGGAGGCGGAAGAGCCCATAGAGCAGGAAGGCAGCCAGGAACATCCCAATTGCGTCCTCCAGGGAGGGGCCCGTGGCACCTGGGGCAGAGGGGGGATGAGACCGAGAGACACTCCCCATTCCCTCCTTCCCCACACCTCTGCGTTACCCCGCCCCTTTCTCCCCTCCGCCCCCCCCCACTCCATACCCCCTCCGCAGATCCTCCCCCATGGCACCCCTCCCCTTTCTCCCGTCCGCCCCCCCCCTCTCCCGAGCCCTCCCATCCCTGCACTCCTCTCCCATTGCCCCCTGCCCTGTCCCGCCGCTGTCCTCACCTGCTACGCGGAGCTGGACGCTCCTCCTGGCAGGGGTGGCCAGGGCGGTGTGGGTCACGTGGCAGCTGTAGGTGGCTCCGTGGTCGCGGGGCTGGACGGGCGCCAGGCGGGCGAAGCTGCTCAGGCTGTAGGTGCCGTCGGGGCCACGCCGGTGCCCTGACTCCCAGGTCTCAGTCACGTACTCCAGCAGGTTGCCCCCCGCCTCCCCGGGGCCCCGGTGCAGCCAGCTCACCGTCACGTCCAACGGGTAATAGCCAGAGATCTCACAGACCAGCTCAGCTGGTGCCCCGGGGGCCACCGATAGGGGGTCAGGGCGCAGTGTCACCACGGGGGGCTCTGAGGGGAGAGAGGGTTAGAGACTGGTCCCATACCGGCCTGTACAGACCAACCAGCGTCCCTCCTCCCCTGGGAGGCACAGACAGGGGATGGGGTGCAGGGTCACCTTGCGAGTGGGGGGAAGCGGGTTCAGAGGAAGAGATGAGTTATGACCTAATCTGGCCTCCCTCATCTCCTGGGGGCATGGGGTACAGTGCCACCACCTGGGGCTCTGAGAGGAAGGAGGGATTAGAGACCAGTCCCATACAGCCCTGTATAGCCCAGCTAAGCATCCCCAAAGTCTGTTGTTTCTAGGGGGCGCTGGCTCAATGTGGGGAACTCTGGGACCCCTCCAATTCAGGGGGTAAATATTGGGGTTCACAGCCCAGGCTGTGGGAGCATCAGTTCAGGGGCCCTCCCCAGAATCAGTCGTGTATCACTAGCCTGGGGTGGGGGGAAGATACCTGTGGGGTGCAAAGATCATCTCATATCCATGTCCCCCCAGGCTGGGAGCAGAGGCAGGCGCTCAAGGGGGGCCCCCCAGACTCACCGGTGATGCGCAGCTCCAGGGCCTGCTGGGCGTGGAGGTGGGGCAGGTAGATGGTGCAGATGTAGGTTCCTTCGTGCCGCACCCCGACCCGGGGCAGTCGCAGAGAGACGTTGGTGTCTGCGCCTGCCCTCCCCTCCTCCAGGAACAGCTGCGCCCCCTCCTCGGCTACGTGGGCCCGGCCTGACACCCCATCATAGGCCAGCACCACGCGCCCAGCACCCCTGTACTGGTACCGCCACTCCACCGAGAAGGGGCCGGGTGGTGCCGTGAAGCCACAGTCCAGCAGCACGTCCCGGCCCAGGCGGGAGTGCAGGTGCGGGGTGCGGGAGAACACGGACAACACCGCTGACGGGGGGAGAGATGAAGGGGTTACTGCTGTGAGCACCACAGGGACAGTGCTACGGGGGTGGGGGTTACTGTTGTAAGCACCATGGGAGCAGTGCCATGGGGGGGCAGGGTTGTGAGCACCACAGGGACAGTGCTACGGGGGTGGGGGGTTACTGCTGTGAGCACCATGGGAGCAGTGCCACGGAGGGAGTGGCAGGGTTGTGAGCACCACATGGACAGTGCCACGGGGTGGGGGGTTACTGCTGTGAGCACCATGGGAGTAGTGCCATGGGGGGGCAGGGTTGTGAGCACCACAGGGACAGTGCTACGGGGGTTGGGGGTTACTGCTGTGAGCACCATGGGAGCAGTGCCACGGAGGGAGTGGCAGGGTTGTGAGCACCACATGGACAGTGCCCCGGGGTGGGGGGTTACTGCTGTGAGCGCCATGGGAGCAGTGCCACGGAGGGAGGGCCAGGGTTGTGAGCATCAGAGGTAGTGCTTTGAGCACTACGGGAACAGTGGCACAAGGGAGGGCTGTGAGCACCATGAAGAACAGTGCCTTGGAGGAGGGCAGGGCTGTGATCACCACATGGACAGTGCCCCGGGAGGGGTAGTGCTGTGAGCAGCACAGCAGGATGTGGGGGCAAGGGAAGGAGCTCGGGGCCCCGGGGAGAGAGGGGGTTCCCACAGCAGAGTTTTGGGGGGAGGCCGCTCCCACCCTACATTCCCAGGTGCCCTGGTTACCAGTTGCCATGGTGACTGCCGGTTGCTGGGACGTTGCCGCCTCCTCGCTCTTGAGGACAGCGCTGATCCCGTAGCCCCTGGCTGGGGCCTGGATGCTGCTGATGAACCAGGGGCCCCCCAGGCCCAGGGGGCTGCGGTGCTCGGGGGTCAGGCCGGCCGCCCAGGGCACGTGGGCCTCCTGTGGCGTGTAGGCGTTGATCTCACAGGACGGCAGCTCCCCCTCCTTGGGGCGCCCCCCTACTGGGAGGGGGACACGGTGCAGGGCCCCTGCAGGGTCTGGAGGGGAGAAAGGAATCGGGGGGAAGAGACATGGACACCCCAATGCCCACCCTTGCCAGGAGGGGGATACAACGCAGGGCCCCCCGGAATCTGGGGGGAGCGAGACGGGGCGGCAGTTGTGGGGCACCGGAAGGCGAATGAGGGACGTGCCAGAGAGGGGAGTGGGGGGGCACTGGAGGGCAGGGAGGAGTGGGGGAGCACTTGGGGAGGATGGGGAAAGGAGGGGGCTGTAAGAAGCGGGATGGGGGAGCAGAGGGGAGAAGCGGGGTGTGAACAGGTGGGGTAACACTGGGGGCAGGTGGGATGATGGGGTAGTCCTGGGGGGTAGGAGCAGGCAGCAGCGTGGTAGTGGGGGCAGGCACTGGAGGAGCAGGGTGTGGTAGCCTGGGGGGGGAGGGGGGAAGGACATACCAGCGATGTCAAAAACCATGCCTGGCTCCAGGTCGGGGGGCAGCTCGGGCTCCGTCTCGGGGTGCCCCCGTCTCGCCCCCCGCAGCAGCAGCAGCGCCCGGCGCTGGGTCACGGAGCTCGGCATCACCCCCATGCCCCCCCCGGCCTCCTCCACGAACCAGCAATTCAGCCGGGGGGGCCCCGCCACAGCCAGACACAGAGCGAACCCTAGGGGCCAGGGCCAGGGGGTTAGTGGGGACACAAGGACCCCCCAAAGCTCCCTGGGACACAGGATTGTCCCAGATTGCCCCCTCCCCCAGGGCAGGACCCTCGAGAGACGCCCCCTCCCCTCGGGTCTGATTTCTCCCCCGCCCTCCCCCCAATAACTAGCAGGTGCCTCCACATCCCACCCAGGCCCTGAGCAGCCCCATCA